GCGCCGGGTGGTTTATGGTGCCAAACTGTGTCCTAAAAAGGAGACTCGAGGCAAAGCTCCTCGGCGGGACCGGCACCTCGCGTGCGACGGACACCCGGCGTTCGCGGATTCACAAACGAGGCGATCGGGGAACAGAAAAGTCGGATTCGGTCGGGCTTCGAAAACCTAGTCAAATACCAACCGGTTACAAAAAAAAAAAAAAAAAAAAAAAAAAAAAAAAAAATCGAAGGCAATTACCAACCCGTCAGCTCGACCACCGCCAAGATTTAGCACCGAGCATTAAACGTCCTCTGCATCGAGCACTGATTAACACGACCCGATCCCAAAAAGCAAGATCGAACACATTTCCCCGCTCGCAGCTCACTCAAACCTGACAAACATCCTCACAAACAACACAAGCGCCCATCAACAACATCAGCAACAAACAAACAAAAACAACAACACAAAACCCCATTCCCAACCCTAATCGAAAGAACACAAACGCCCAAAGAATTCCCCCCAAACAATTACAGACGCTAACGACACAGCGCGCCCACAAATCAGCCCGCCCGCCTTCAAAGAGGCTGTCGCGCCGCCCGCATCCCCGCCTAATGCTCGCCCTGACAGCGCCTGCATATAAACTTCAGCTCTAATGCCCCGCCGATGATATTTACATCAAACTGTTGTTCCCAAGACGCCCGGGGCATGGCGGCCCCGCGCTTCTCCTCCCGTTTCTTCGCTTTCCCTTTCTTCTCGTCTTTTGTTTCAAGCTTCCTGTTTAACTATATTACAACAGCATCAACAAGAAGACAGAAGAAAGAAGAAGAAGAAGGTGAAGATGAAGATGAAGAAGAAGAAAAGAAGAGAAGAAAAAGGAAAAAAGAGAAGAAGAAAAATAGAAATAATAACAGCCATAATAATAATAATAATAATAATAATAATAAAGTGAAGACAGAAAGATATCTAAAAGAATTACACTTTCCTCCTCCTCCTTCCTCTCTCTCGCGCGAGTCACCGCCCAAGGAACCTGCACGAGCTTTTATCTTTCCCACAGACGACAGACATCCCTCCCTCCTTCCTCCTCTGCCCAACCCCCTCCCATTCCTCCTCCTTCAGCTGACCCCTCCTCTTCCCTTATCTCCGCAACCCCTCTCCCCTCCCCCAATACCCCCAACCTCACCACCTCCCCATCCCCATTCCCCTCCTTCACCCTCCCTCTCCCCTCCTAGAGTACTCCCAACCCCTCCCCTTCCCTATTCTCATCCTTTACCCTCCCTCTCCCCTCCTCCTTACCTCCCCCTCCCCCACTCCCCTCAGGGACAAGAAGCAGCGATCCCACAAAGCCTTTCGTCGCTGGCTCTTGAACATCTTAATATCATCTCCCGAGTGCGAGGCGGACGCTGTGAAAATCAAGGAAATTTATGTCTTCCCATTACTTTTCGAAAAGAAAAAAAAAAAACATAAAACAGAGATGGTGACACATCTTGCCTATTGAAATAACAAACAAGCAAATAAAATGAATGACTATTAGAGTATAAAATGATGTTACTCTTGTTGTTGTTGTTATTGTTGTTAGTGCTATACTTAACATTTTCCTTACAGTCGTAGGGTTTATAAGTAACTTCAGGACGAGACTAGAGAAATGACGCCGATCGTGGCAATAATAATATCTCATGATAATGATGATGATACTAAAAACAAAACACACGACAAACCATAAATTTAAACACAACATTCAAGTGTTTCTTATCTGATATAACAACCAGAGGGATCCGAGTCTAATACTATCTATTTCCATTAATAATAACGATGATGATAATGGTGATTGATGATAATAATGACAATATTAATAATCATACTGATACTAGCATACTTCACTCATTCACTTACTTTTTATTCCATTCTCCCAATCATTCTATCTTCCTTACTTAATTAATTACACACTCATCACTTTCTCTAACTTTATGTACACACATGCATACATACACATGCACACACAGACACAATACACACACACACACACACACACACACACACACACACACACACACACACACACACACACAACACACACACACACACACACACACACACCACACACACATATAATATAATAATATATAATATATATATATATATATATATATATATAATATATATATATATATATACACACATCATACACGTTCCCCATTCCCCGGATACACATACAAACAAAACAGACAGAAACACACATACTTACTCCCACTCCCCGATCCTTCCCCTCCCTTCCCCCCCACCCCATCCCCACCCCTTCCATCGCCGGGCCAAGAAGCTGCCAAGCCCCGACCCACAACACGGCCCCAAAAACGCCCGGGTTCTGAAGGCGCCGCTGATGGTTTCTGCCCAAGCTAAACGAGCCTATTTAAATGGGGCTTGTGTGCGGCGATGGGCGGGCGCTGGAGGGAGGCTCGCCCGCCGCCTCTGCCTTCATGCTTATTAATTGGGGATTTTCTCTTCCTCTTTCTCGGCGCTCTCTTTT